TTGATATGATTTATTCTAGTTTTTGTCTTGAATGTGCTTGTTCAATGCATGAATTTCTCAATTCAGTGATATATTAATACCTACTGTATTATTATTAATTTGTTCATTTCGAAATGCAACATCGTATACATTTAATAGTAGTACATACACTGATCTACCATTAAATGAAGACATCATTTGAACTGCCTTTCTTCAAACTGGTTACTTGACGAAACCCATACGTCTTAGTTTGGATTTTGATCATGATCTCATACATAATCCTACTACTAATGAAATTATGTTTAGTTATGGATTTAAAAAATAAAAACAGATATATCGATCGTTAATACGTATCAGCTGATCATTTGTTTTTTCCTAAATATTGATAATAGTCAAAATTGATATTCAAAGCGAATTAATAATAAATAAAAACATGTTATACTCGGTCTCTAAATGCATAACTTGCAAAAACGACAAGAAAATTAATATATTATGATACCAAAAAGCAATTCTGTAAAGTCGATTTGGATTTCGAGTAGCATATCAAAAACTTCTGATTGCTGATATTATTAGTTAATCCTTGGCTTTTTGATTCAATACGTCAAGTACTCATTAGATAGTCCTTTGTTTGCGAAAAATCGAAAAAAATACAGTAGGGATGGTCCAATTTTGAGCCTGAAAGGTGTGGTGGGTGTGGGTGTGGGATTTGGGTATGGGTGCGGTGTGAGTCGAGAAAACAGAAATATAGACACCCACACTTACCCCACACCCTATCTTCTAAAATGCTTTGTTTTTTCTATGTAAGTAGAATAAATGTTAACAAAATTGAAGTGATGTTCCAATACAAGCTTTTATTTTATTATATTTGGATGTAATAGAAAGAAAAGGAAGAAATTAATCAATATAAATGGAAAACATTTGTGGTGGAATAAGATCCAAACCTTCACCATATAATATTGGAATAAGGAGTGTTTTAGGTGCATTTTTAGTACGAGTTATTGTTAATATTTGTTTTTCTTGAAAATTATTAATATTAAAAGTAAATTCTTTTGGTGATAATGTAAAACAATCAATACATTCAGTTGTATTCCATTGAACACGAACAGTGCCATTTCCATCAATTCGATGTGGTGGAGTAGAAAGGGAAACATGAAATTCTGCACTTTGACGTAATCTTATCGTTGCAAATTCTGGATAATATTAAAGGCCGAGATCAAGATCTTCACAAGCGGCAGGCCAATTCATGGAAATTGAATTAAAATACTTGTTATCTGGTTTTCCAATTGATATTATCTTATAGGGTGTGGGTGTGGGTGTGGGTGGGTGGGTGTGGGTGTGAGTATGGGTGTGGATGTGGGAGTGGGTGTGAGTGAAGGCGTGGGTGGGGGTGTGGGTGTTCTATCAATCCACAACCGTACCCACAACCGCCCGCACCCATACCCACACCGAAACCCACACCCACACCCTTTTATTAGTGTCTGAAGAAATAATGAAGCATGCTCTAGGGAAGTCAAAGCATGTGTTTAATGTGAAAACGTGATATCACGGTGAGATCATTTTTCCATCAACTCAGATAAATCTAATGAATATTATGATTCGTGTCTCACAATGATTCGTTCAGTGACTGGTGAAGTGGATGCGACCATCATTCATTGAGAAAACGCATAAAGATCTATATAACCGCTCAATTCTGACGTGAATGGATTCAGATGTAATCGACACATTTCGTGATTCACAAATTTTTGCTCGATTGGGTGAAAGTGTATGAAAAGAACATGACGAGGTGACAATGTGGGTTAGTATAACAGACAGGTTGACTGGGTAATGATGATGATCAAGTGACTACTGTCAGACTATCATCCGTAAACTCTGACATGAACTCTCAGAGTAGACGGATGTGGGTGCGAGCACTGTCTTCAAATCATGAACACAAACACCCATACTCGAAACAATGAACTTTTCGTATGAACATTGCATATCACAAGGCTATAGAGAACAGATAATATCGAGTTTTAAGTCATCCATGTGCAATCGGAATGAGGGCTAATTAATTAATTCGAACGAAAATCTACTGACTCATTCATTGATTCATAACGATGAAAAAAGAAAAGCAAGCAAACAAATAAAAGGATGTGACTGTAGGTGTGCATACCGATCGCTCTACCATCTGCACCGACATCGACAAATAGGTTTTTCCAGTATAACGATGTTAAAAGGATCAAATAAATTGGTACAATAGAAATTTTAAATGTGAACATTTTCGAAATAATCAGAGCGCCCCTACCAAGTGTTAAAATTGTTATAACTCTGATTTATTCATTTATTTGGCATTTTTTAAACTAAACTATTTTAACCTCTCTGACAATATACAATAAACGTATAACAGTCAGCGTTTGCGAGTTTCATACTTTCGTCCCTCATCAAGCCGAATTGACAAGTTTTTTCTAATGATTTCACGAAAATTTTTACATGGCCGTGTGTTAATCGGAGAAATAAATCAGCATCATCAAATTTATTGAGCATGAGTGACTCGAAATCGATCCAATGTCATTCGACTGAATATCGCGAACGATCGTACTAACTTATGTTAAAAAATTCCACGTAAGTAATAAGTTTATGACTTTAGTGCCACATCTGTAGAATTCTGTGTTTTGCAAAACATACAATTTCGTTTGAAATGTGACATGTTGATGTCACAATCTTTCTTTCCTTTTTCTTGCTACCAATTGCAATCGAAGAAAAAAAGATTGATTCGTCAATTGTAAGTATATGCCGTTCTGTTGACAGAAGATCGAACACGCCCGCACATATGGGGCAACACCACATGATTGCAACCTATATCGAATGAGTAATCGTTTACATTCGCAGGTGTGGCACAATAGAATTATTTCGTTTTATTAGAAGGATATTTGTCATTTGAAAATTAAGCTAAAAAATGATGGATTCGAATGAATCAAAACAAATGAACAGAAGAACTGATGTCAACCTACAATCTATCGAAACTTTTCATGTCATTTGCCTGATAACAAATGAAGATCAAATAGTATTACATCAAGAAAATGATGTTGCTAAATTTCGTCATATTGTTAATAATTTTCGATTATTCAACGATCGAGATGCGTGCATCGATTATATTACAGAACTTGCGACGAATAAATTCTTTCTTATTTTATCCGCTCATATCGGTGAACAAATCATTCCTCTTATTGATCAATGCAGTCAGATCGATTCAATTTATATTTATTCAGCAAGTGAAATGAAATCTGTTCTACAGACTGAATTCTATCGAAAAATCTCTGGTAGTTTTGTCGACATTGATTCGATTTGTGAACAGCTGAATTTCGATGCTCGACGATGTTCGAATAATCTGCTATCAATGTCATCTATTCCATTTCCATCTACTCGAAAACATCAGATAAATGGAAAAGATGTGTCATTTATGTATTCACAATTGATTCGAGATTTATTTCTCGATATGGATCTTTCAATACCTTCAATACGTGATATGATCTTTCATTTTTCAATTAAATTTGAAGGTAACGAACGTGGATTAGCTCTCATCGATGAATTAGATCGTGATTATTGTTCGATGCAATCAAATATTCGGACAGGAACTGTTTCAAAAGGTAAATCAATATGGTGGTACACTCGATGTGGTTTCGTATTTGAAGTAATTAATCAAGCGTTACGAAGGCAAGATATCGATATGTTATATAAAATGCGATATTTCATTGTTGATCTTCATAGACAATTAAAATAATTGTGTTTAGCTCAATCAATAACAAATAGGCCATTGACTGTCTATCGAGGTCAAGCTATGTTAAATGAAGAATTTGAACAGCACAAATCCAATATAAATGGCTTACTAACAATTAATAATTTTCTCTCGACAAGTACAGATTATCAGGTAGCCAAAGGTTTTGCATTTGCCAATAAAAATCGATCTGGTATGCAGGCTGTTCTATTCGAAATTGAGTTCGATTCAAATATTCCTTGTCAACAATGTCCATATGCCAACATCGAACATCTGAGTTATTATCAAACGGAATGTGAAGTTCTCATTTCAATGGGAACCATATATCGCATTTGTTCCATCGATAAAGATAATGATGATATTTGGAAAATAAGTCTCAAATTAATCGATAAACAAAAAGATCAAGAGTTAGAAATAATGGCTGACAATATTTGAGAAAAGATTCGATCATATGATGATTTGTTCAGTTTAATAAAATTATCACGTCTAGTGGGTGATTTCAAAACAGCGAAAAGATTCATTGATCAATTATTGAATGAATCATATTTTTGGGATGAAATTCAAAATTTGGCCTTCTTGATCAATGAAGTCGGATTGATTTGTGAAGAACAAGGTGATTTTACAACGGCTAGTGTATACTATCAAATATTTATGGATATGAAACAAAAGCGACAATTGATTTGTAGAAGAGATACGATTTCATCGACCTTAGAACGAGCAACATTTCAAACTATCTCGAAACATATTCAAGATATGAACAATGAAAATAATGAAAAATTAATCGCATTGAAAAATTCTTTGAAAAATGAAGAGAAAAGTGATATGCCAGATACGACAAAGTCAGCCAATTATTGTCAACAAATCGGTCATATCTATGAACTACAGGAAAACGACAAAGAAGCTCTTAACATGTACCAAAAAAGTTTAAAATTATTTGTACCTGTTGATTTAGAAGTTATGCAAATCTATTCCAGTATGGCTCTCCTATATGCTAAACAAAACGATTGGTCGACATCGAACACGTACATAGAAAAAACATTAGAATATTTACATAGCAAACCCTATAGCAATACATTTATAGAGTACTATGAAAAAATCGGTCTTGTATACGAAGTTCAAGAGCGATATATAGATGCTATTCGAATATACGAGAAAATCGTATCTTTTATTCCTGATGAATACTATTATGACGAGATAGTTCTCGCTCATATCGGTTATCTCTATGAAAAGCAACAGAATTACATCGATTCATTGCAAATCTACGAACGGCTATTATCTCTTCAATTGAATGTACTTTATCGTGATCATCCACGATTGGCAGATACGTATGCATCGATAGCCAACTCATGCTATGGTCAACATTAATATCAAGAAGCTTATACAAATTTAACAAATGCACTCAATATTGATCTTCTTACGATGAGTGAGAATCATCCGTGGATAAAAAAGCGTCAAGAAGAAATTGTTTTTATTCGACAAAAGATATATAACGTCTGAGAGAAATGCCGCTTATCTATCTTTGTCAAGAGAAGCGAACTCTGTCAATTGATATACGACCTGTTTTTATGAATTATGTCATACTGATTAAATAATCGAAATAGAATAATTACACGAGAAACACTAAATATAGACATCCCAAGTGTGATCTCATCTATCAATCCGCTTTAGTTAATTAGAAATAGGGTTTCACGTCATCAGTTGTTGGATTTGAGTGCAGGAGGAATCGATTGATCTTCAATTATCGCTACCACCTAAAATCTATCATGATTGTTGATAAATATCAAAGACATTGAAGCCCATAGCCTAGTCGAAGTGCCTCGGCTATTTTGGGATATCTAAATCAACATCTCGTCAGCTGTCTCGAAACCGGGTATGGGTGTGTGGGTATGTGGATGTGGGGTGTGGGATGTGGGTGTAGATGAAGAGATATCACGCACCCAGACCCAGATCCACCCACGTCCACTCCACACCCACATCTTCGTATAATTTGTTTATTTAATTTATTATAAAAGAAAATAAAAAAGCAAGAAAACAAAAATCTCATTCATTAAAAGCTCAAAAAAACAAGACAATTCTCGTTCAATTTCTAAATCTTATTTATTTTATTTCTTTTTTCTTTTTTCTTAAAACTAGTGTCTTGATTTCTCTTTAAACTAAAGAACTACAAGCCAATAAAACTTATTTATTCTTATTCTAAAACAATCTCATTCATTTCTTGTCACACACACATCATATTTTTTTCACACTTAGACGCTCACTTTTTTCTTATTCATTTAGTCATATATTTAGTCATTCACTTATTTATTTATTTATTTCATTATTCTTCATTCATTTATTCATGCCTTCATTCATCAATTCATTTAATTATTTATTTCGTATTCCTGAAAGCGCATTTATTTTTTCATTATTAACAGCTCATTTATTCATATATATTTATTTATTTCTTATATACTCATATTCTTCAATAATTCCCTTACCCAGGTCGAAAAGTACGGGCGGGTTCCGACAGGAAAACACCGAAAGTCGTCTGAACAGGGTAGCAGTATTCCGGCCGGAAAATTTTCGGACTTTCTCCGGTGACTTCCGGTCAAATTCATCGCGTTTCCTGTAGGAAGTTGTCCGGAAGTCACTGAAAAAAGTCCGAAAATTTTCCGCCAGGAATACTGCCACCCTGTTCCGGCGACTTCCCATGTTTTCCTGCAGAATATGGTGAATTCTCCCGCATATTTTCTGCAAGATCCTGCGGGATCCGGTGACCGGAATCTTCTACCTGGGTTTATACGTATTGTTAATTCGTTATTTATTTAATCCACATTCACACCCACACCCAACTTTCTGGACACGATATTCAAATCTTAGCATGTCCAACTGTGATTTTTTATAGTAGCTCGATTTTTAAATTATATATGTTCGCACCACAGATTCTTTGTAATCAAGATATTCGAAACATGTAAAATATTTATATATATATAATCTGTGTGAAAGTTTCAATCTGTTCATCGTTTTGCTTTTAATTGTGAATGTAGAGCGCTGATAAGTGTTTCATAATATTAAAAAATAATACGAAACGCATCGGCGAAATTAAACTCTGCATTTCTTTGAAATTATTTTCTTTCAAAGAATATTCATTTATTATTTAGTTTTCGACTAGATCGATTGCTGAAAAGTAAGAGTTGAGAGCAGCAGATTTATTTGTCTTTTCGTTAGAAGATAGGTTGATCTATTTGTGAGTTGATTTACGTATACCCAACAGAGCACAAACAAGTGTCGTGGATGCATTGTTCTCTCGCTCAAAAGACTTGAAAATTGACTCTTTGATGAAATTTATTGAATATAGTATTATGAAAGCTATTTAAATTTATTATTTAAACGTATTAGAAAGAAAAAAGATAAAATTCTAAATAATTTAAAGAAAATTGATGATTTTCGATTCATTAATTAATAAAACCCAATCCCAATATGTTGAACGATTATCTCTATATCAATTGATAGGAAATGAAAAAGTACAAAAAGTAACATTTACCACGCAATACGTGCCAGAAGACTACGTGGATATTTGCGTATGCAGAATTTTCGTAGTTCATCAATAATTAACCACAGCATACCGAAACCAAGTGTCGGCATGACATATTTCGCCGGCACGCGACCTGTGCCTAAGACACGATTAAACCAAC